ATGAATAATGCAACAGCTCTAATGAAGTGACACATTGTTGAAAGTGGCGAGAAAAGTAAGAAAACATTTATCGAATGATTTAAATCATTGATTGTGTAGCACTGAATAAATTATAATAATTGTAGTAAAAAACGACAATAGAATGGATGATTTTTTATCATTTTCACTGCATGAAAATAATAAAGATAATTTGAAAACTTATGCTAAAGATTTTTCAAATTTAGAAAAAAATGGAAAATTTTTGAGGATTTTTAAATAAATAAAGAAAGGAAGGGTAAATATGATCGTTTCTCAAATATAATAATTTTTGATTAAATTAACTTAAATAAAAGAAAAATGATGGAGAATGATGAGGATAAGTGGAAAAATTTTAATAAAATTATCATAGTTTCTTTCCGATGGGTATTATCCTTTTTTTCTACCGGAAAAATTTCCGTTTTTTTCCGCTTTTCATTTAATTTCAAAGATTAGTCGCGTTTAAATCCGAATTGAAGATATAATAATTTAATTTTGAAGTTTTTCTTAAATATCTAAATTTGTTCTTCTTCGATTTCAATATCAATATGCATCCTATATAATGCTAATAATATTGGATGATTCATCTGCAATTGCAGCAATAATAGCTTCAATTTTCGGCATTTGGTTATTTTACAGGGTATAACATCATTATTTAACTTATTAATACAATTAATTTAAAGGAAAGAAGTATAATTTTTTGTACTTAGGCAAGTAAAAAATACGCCTGTAACTATAAAAAATTTCATTGAAAATTAAATCAAATATTTGATTTGAGGGGAATATTTTTTCAATTTTAAAAAATCTTTTGCCCTATGATTTTCACTCTTTTGTTTTCTCTTATTTTTTTTTAGCAATCATTAGAATAAATTTTTATTGATATAATTCATTCTGATTGGATAGCTTTGAACTAAAAAAAAGATCATTCATTAGCTGCTGAAGAAAAAACCTATGGAAGAAAATACAACAATGATATAAAGAAAAAAAAAATAACATACCTTAAATATTGCCAAACAAGTGGACAACAAATGGACATAACAAGTTCACATATCGTAAATATACATATGTATCATTTCATTTCACGAATACACAATGCATCCAAAAAAAAAACTCACCCGAGAAAAATTTTCATACGTTCAAAAAAAGAAAAGGAAAGAAAAAAAAAAGCACTTTTTACAGTAATAACAATTTGCCTGTAATAATTTTTGACTGACTTCCTACGGTAGCTTCTACTGTTAGATATTACTGTAGCACAAATTGCGAAAATCGTACCGCACTTTTTGGTTTCATTCATATTATAAATTTCATAAATGAGCTTTTCATCAGTTTTAATAACAATATGATACATTGAATTGGAGCAATTTTAAGTTTGACATTTAAATGTTTGACTGATTTGGTGTGAATACATAAACTGTTTTGATAGTGTATCAAATTGAACTTGTTGAATGATTAATTAAGGCATTTGTGTGTAGAAATACAGGCTTAGCTGCATTAAAAAAATATTCACTTAATACAAGTAATTATCAAGTGATTGTCATTTCGAAGTGAAAGAAAAAAATTTAGTAGACAGTAAATAAAATTAAAAACAAAACAAATAACTAAATAAGCCGCTCTTCCTTGGTAACGGTAGCCATAGGCATTGAATAGCTACTTGATAGTATACTTTCTTCGCGTGCTGGATTATATTTCCCGTGTAATTTACGTGAACGACGTACGTAACGGAATACCAATGTAGTACATGCTCCCGCTAATATCATTAGTGCTAAAATGGTAATATTACAGTTATATCTATTACTGTTTCATTTCATACGTTTGTAACAATGAAAATTGAATTTAAAAATATTTGATCGATAATTTATTCATAAATTTGAAATTTACATTATTATTTAAGAGTAATATTGATTTATTATTACCAGTATCAATTATATTTCTATAGCCATTTCGTTCTACAGCTTGATAAGAAAATTCGCTTAATCTGAACTGAAATTATATCAAAATATATTTACCGAAAATAATGGCAAAAACAATTGTCCAAGATGAAGTATCACTTCTCATCGTGTCATCATTATCGCTAAAAGCTCCACCTGAAGGTTGATTCAAATGCGGAATTAACGTAGTTGTTGGAAGACCAACTGTTAATTTTACAAATTTCGCTTTATCTTCATCAAATGCAGTGAATTCTTCCATCGTTCTCGATTCTTCAGTAAATTCTTCCATCGTTGTCTGTAATAGTATTATTGAAATGAAATTAGCAAAGAAAA